GTAATTTAAGAGCCCTGTCTGTGATGGTTTGAATGCTTGTACCCTCCAAAATTCACCTTGTAATTTAATTACCACTATCAGAGTATTAAAAAGTGAAACTTTAAAGAAGTGATTGACTGGGTGAGGTGGCTCACACCTGTAATCTCAACACATTGGAAGGCCAAGGCAAGAGGATCGCTTGAGGCCAGGAGTTCAAGATCAGCCTGATCAACATAGCAAGATCCCATCTCTACAAAAAAATTATTTTTAAAAAATAGTTGAACATGGTGGTGCCCACCTGTGGTACCTACCAATTACTCAGAAGACTGAGGCAGGAGGATTTGTTGAGCCCAGGAGTTCGAGGCTGCAGTGAACCGTGATTGCACCACTGCACTCCAGCCTGGGTGACAGAGCAAGACTCTGTCTCTAAAAATAAAAACAAACAAATGAAGAGATGATTAAGCCCTCATGGGTGGAATTAATGCTGTTATGAATGGATGAGTTCCATCTCCTTTTGCCTCTTGGTCATTCTGCCCTCTGCCACATGAGGAGCCCGCCTTCCTGCTTTCCCAAGGTTGCAGTGTGCACGCTGCCATCTTGAAGAAGAGAACGGTCTCATCAGACACCAAACCTGCTGGTGTTCTGAACTTACGCTTTCCAGCTTTTAGAACTGTGAGCCAAGAAATTGACAGAATATTCAGTCTAAGGCATTCCATCATAGCAGCACAAAACAGACGGAGACATTGTCTAAAATATATAGCTCTTACACTGGGGATAAAAACATGAACATGGCTGTCTGATTTAAAAAATGGATTGTCTTCAGCACCAGGCTGTACTGCTTCCTAATAAGAGGCTGGGATACTTCTGCATACTTGAAAGCTGTGACATATTTTGAAAGAACTGAAAGATGATGTGTTTTATTATATTTATATTATTATGTACCCTGAAAAAGAGAAAGAGAGAGAGAAATGAGAGAATGAAGAGAGAAGAAAGGGAAGGAGGGAGGAAAGGAAGGAAGGAAGGAAGAAGGAAGGAAGGAAAAAAGGAGGGAGGGAGGGAGGAAAGACAGGCAGGTGTATTACTTATGGTTGCTTGTTCAGTAAAACTAATATACCTGTGGAATAAAAATAATAATAATAAATAAAAATAAAAAAATACATTTGCTTTAAGATCACGTTGTTAATTTTGGCCACCTGCTCATAATCTGACTCTTGATTTCAGTCCTCAGTTTCAGACTGGATTCTCAATTTCAATTATGTATCATCTTCCCTTCTTGCTCAGTTTGACTCCATCATACCTACCCTGAGGAAAACAATGTTACTAATGTGTCTAAATCCTTCTCCATGTCCATACGAATTTATACAAATATGATTATATATGCTTGTATGCAACCTTGAATATACCATCAACCCTAGCTTCAGGTAATCATCACTGTTGTCCCTGTCTCAATCATGTGTAATCAGCACCAATGGAGCTAGTTCACCTGTTTTCTTAATATATAATGGAGGGTTGGCTATTTTACTGAAGTAGGGGCCATTGGGATGACCTCAGTACAAGGGTTTTCAACCTTAGCTTCACATTGTAACCACATAGAAAGCTTAAAATTTTTGTAATAACCCAGCTACACTTCTCATCAATTAAATCAGCATCATAAGAGATGGGACAATCTTAGGAATCAATATTTCCTCAAAGCTCCCCAGTATAATTTCAGTCTGTAGCTAAACTGAGAATTATTTTCAACGAGCCAGACAGATCAAACTTCATATCACCTGTCTATCCCGACCATGCCAATTAATACCCTCAATAAGGGCTTGTTGGCTAAGATTACAATAGTGAAATAGCTGAGAATTGTCACTACATCCGTCCCAGTTCTGACCTGTCCTGACCTAACGTGGTCTGCACAAACCAAACTAATTTTGCTAACTTTGCAGAAAGAGCCATCCAATTTGAGGATGGTCCCAGCACCTTTGGCTTTGGGCCTATTTGCTCAGGGAGTTAGTATTGAGGTTGTTTATCCAAGTATTGCCACTCAGACTGAGTTAATACAAATCACCAGTGGAGTTTGAGAAACTTAGAGATTCTCCATCTCTGTTCCCCCATCATTCTGATTCTGTAGATCTGACGTGTGGCCCAAATATCTGTGCCTTTAAGGTACTGTCCATGTAAATCTAATGTGAAGCCAGGTTTGCAAACCATGTTGATTATCACTGAGAGAAGAAAAGTTATTCCAAATAAACATAAAACATGACTGTATTAGTCCTTTCTCACATTGCTATAAAGAAATACTAAAGACTGGGTAATTTATAAAGAAAAAAGATTTATTGGCTCACAGTTCTTCAGGCTGTACAGGAAGCATGATGCTGGAAACTGCTGGGCTTCTGGGGAGGCCTCAGGAAGCTTACAGTCACAGTAGAAGACGAAGGGGAAATGGGTACTTCAAATGGCTGGAGCAGGAGCAGGAGTAGGAGAGAGGACGCTGGGTGGGGATTGAGAAGGGGTGGTACACACTCTTTTTTTTTTTTTTTTTTTTTTTTTGAGACAGAGTCTTGCTCTGTTGCCAGGCACCAGGCTATAGTGCAGTGGCACAATCTCAGCTCCTTGCAACCTCCGCCTCTCAGATTCAAGCAATTCTCCTGCCTCAGCCTCCTGAGCAGCTGGGACCACAGGCCTGCGCCACCACGCCCAGCTAATCTTTGTATTTTTTAGTAGAAGCAAAGTTTCACCATGTTGGCCAGGATGGTCTTGATCTCCTGACCTTGTGATCTGCCCGCCTCGGCCTCCCACAGTGATGGGATTACAGGTGTGAGCTACTGCGCCCGGCCTGCTACACACTTTTAAACAACCAGATTGTGCAAGAACTCACTATCATGAGAACAGCACCAAGAAGATGGTGCCAAGTCATTCACGAAAAATCTGCCTCCATGACCCAGTCACCTCCCACCAGGTCCCACCACCAATATTGGGGATTACATCTCGGCATGAGGTTTGGTAAGGACAAAGATCCAAACCATCTCAATGGTCTTTCCCTGAAAAATATGCCATTTTTATATACTTGTATATATAAATAAAATATCTCAGGGATTTTGACTGGAGAGGGTGTTGGGGCATGGGAGAGGAAGAGAGAAAGAAAAAAAAAAGAGATGAAAATTTATGGAAACAAGCCCGGTCTTATAAGCTAAGTTATCAAAGGGTGAAGTATTCTGACACAAAGGGCCAATGTATCTCTAGAACTCTGGATTTACGCATCTACCATAGAGGCTGTCAGGGACAACACGATGATAGGAAAGCAACAGGGAAGGGCACTTAGTAATAAGAGCTGGTCAAGATCCAGAGCACTGTGAGGTCAGAAACAGAAATTATTTTTAATGAGTATAAAAGAATTTACAGGAAATAAGAATCAAAATATGCAAAACACCAAAAGAAAAAAAAAACCTGTAACTTCTTCATAGGAACAAAATAACTGATTAAGATATTTAAATTATTAAAAGTAGATCTTTTTATTAGAAATAGAGGAATGAAAGAACTTATTTGTCTCATGGAAACAAAATGAAACCCAAATGTGTGGGAGTCAGAGGCAGAGATTTTGAACTTTAATAAATAATTTTATCTTCATGAGAATGCCAGGGGAAAACTGCTAAAGAGAAATGAAAGCACCAAGTTGCTTCTTTAATCCATGTGTATGTAACTTATGTTTGATTCCCATGTAATAACTAAGAAACTGTTTACTTGAACTAATTGTCTTTATTTAAAAAGTTGTGCTTAGATACATTGTTTGTAATTCTTACTAAATTTTCACACATTTTTCCTTTGTGTTGTTTCTGTTGATGCATATATAAAACATTGATTATTCATAATTTTAAATATTTAGAGGATAACAGGCTGCTAGATGGTATATATAAAGTTGTAGTTTCAAAGGACTGTCAAAGTATTGAAATGCAACTAACTTTGAATTTGGATCACATCAATTTTCCAGAAAATTCTAGATTTCTGATCTAGCAAAATCAGTATCAAAGGCTAGTTTACCATTATTTTCTGCCTATAGTTACGCAACTATATGAGGAGAAATGGAACACCATATCATTTACCAGTATTCTGAAATCAGCAATTTTGTTCCAGAAAATATCTTGAACCCTAGATTTACAATATTTGGCATCTAGTGTCCAGGAACACTGACAAGCTGTGATTCAGGAAAGCTCTAAATAATTAAAGATAATGATTCTTATGTTTTTCAAATGTCTTCAAAAAATTTATTAGGACTTGTCTGAGGGAAATAAAATATCAATTGTAAGAGAATATTCTTTTATAATGATACCCAGATTACAAAATCAATAACATCAATATTACTAATTTAAATAAATGATAAACATATAAATATTGGCCAGGAGCAGTGGCTCACACCTGTAATCCCAGCATTTGGGGAGGCTGAGGGTGGCCGATGGCTTGAGCCTAGGTGTTTGAGACCAGCCTCAGCAACATGGCGAAACCCTGCCTCTGCAAAAAAATACAAAAATTAGCTGAGCATGGTGTTGTATGCCTGTAGTCCCAGCTATTTGGGAGGCTGGGGTGGGAAGATCGACTGAGCCAAGGAGGTTGAGGCTGCAGTGATCCAATCATACCACAATACTCCAACGTAGGTGACAGAGTGAGACCCTGTCTCTAAAAAAAGATAATTATTAAATGCTTATTCTTTTTCACCCAGATTACAAGTTATCTAAAATTTAAAGATTAATAAAATATTTATTTTCATAGGATTGTTGGGGAAGAAGAGTTATTTTGCAAGTGCAGGCTGATACTCAGCTGGTTCACAGTGTTACAAACATTTGCCAAAATAAAATATTTCTAAATCAGTTGATACAGTGCTGTAGCCCCAGCTACCGGGATCCTTAGCATGGCCGGACCTCCACGTGACCTAGCAGCTATCGCAAAAGGCATCTCTTGGACCTTGTTCTAGTGCTGTGGCCTGTGTCAGTTCTAGTTTTCAAATATTTAAATATCACCCTAGTGGACATGTGACAATATAATAATAATGTAAGAAATGAATCTTTATTTGAAAAAGCAAATAAATTCAGTGAAATGAGAGACAATCATAAGGCCATAGTATGGCTATTCCCCTTGGTCCCCAGGGATTATTTTAAGACTGAATAATAACATAAAATCAGAAGGCATCAGACAAGGGACTGGAGAATGTTCCGTTAAGCAAGTTCATTTGTCTGATGATGTAAATACACAGTCATTTTGAAAGCTGCTCTTGGTTCTGGTACTGTAGTTTCCTCTTTCCTCACATGGGATTACTCACAAAACTCCTGCTTCTTGGAGAATTTGGAAGAAACATACTAATCCAAATCCTCAATCTTCACCGGGACAGCTGTCTTCTCGCAAATCCAAAATATTTCAGCACTACAGCGAGAAATATGAATATTTCCTTTTTGAAAATAAGCACATCTTTTGGATCCGTTGATCTGGTCAAGTTCTTTAGTACTAAATCTGAAAATTAATCAATTTAAAATTAATTATAAATTCTATATTTGAAATATGATCACTGTTTAGTGCTCTCAGTTGCTCTTAAAACCAACGTCATGTATGTGAATATTGAGGGACTTCTGCCTCCACAAAACTTCAAAATCTGAAGCTGCCTAGAGCTGGCACATCTGAGCTCTTTGTTTTAAGTTTATCATGATCCCAGGTAGAATTCTTTAAAAGAAATACTTAAATCCTGGGCTGAGAGTTTGTATTTCCTTCATAAATATGGAATTCCATGAATGAAATCCATCCAGTTCAGCTTATATTACAAGTACTTGAAGTTCTTTGAGACTTTATGAAGAAAACATAGAAATAAAACTACATTATGTTGTAAAAAGTTACCACATTTTACTATGCGCAAATATAACTTTTTACATAGTTATACATATGTGTTAGGTAAAAAGAGAACAAGACAGACATTAAGAGAGGAAATGAATGACTATATAGATATGGTTCCAACAAGAGTACTCACTTCCTCTGCTAAGAAATTGATGTTAACACTGAAAGAATGTCTTTAGAAAATTACACTTGTCAGGTCTAAATTTTCTGTGTGCCCAACACTGTTGTTTTCCTAAATGACCTGTATTACACTGCCATTTTATTTTCTTGCTTCAGGGCTAGGCTTACTAAATCACAGCCTTGGCCTTTATTCAGTAGTCAAGGAAATGGCTATACAATCTGGAAGCTCAGTCTCTCTAACCTGAGTTTGTCAGGCTGGCTTATCTGACAGCTGCATGTCTCAGGGGCCAGGGTCCGCAGGCTCCAAAACCTGCTATGGGGCCCCTTCCTCTACACTTTGAGTAAGAGTGAGTAAAGGGGCCAAGGATGATTGGAATCCCTTTGGGAGAAGGGACACATCTTAGAATCCAACATGAAATCAACGTGTTTACACGGTGTCGTCCTACTGCTCCTCGAATCCCTCAGTCTAGTAGTAACACCTCAGATTAATATTAATCGGTTCATGCCCAATATTGCTCTTGTCACAAAAAAGTAACTGTCATGTTTGTTTGTTTGGGTATTACTCTGCATGTGCTTTTTGTCATTATTATTTGTGTGACACCAGACTAGTTGACTTAATATGATTAATAATGGTGATTAGAGAATGGAGGATTAGTGTTGGAGTAAAAATGGCCATGACAAAACATTGGGAAATTGACGAAGGTAAAGTGTATCCAGGGAGAAAATAATAGACTTATCATTGTTTGTGATGGAAGGAGCTGCTGAGTCACAGCTGAAGCATGGCATCTTTGACAGGAGACCGAAGATTATGATTCAGTTTAAGAAAACCTTGACAGCATGCTTTAAACAATGAAACAGGAGGGAGGGGCATGGATAATTATTTGTTGGGGAGGAAGGTAGATAAAAAGCCATTTTGGATACAAATATCCTGTTAGATAGAAGAGTAAGACCTAGTGTTTGATAGATTATTAGGGTGAATACAATTAACAATAATCTACTGTGCATTTCACGATAATGAGAAAAGAATAATTTGACTCCTCCTAGCATAAAGAAAAGATAAATATTTAAAGTGATAGATGTCCCAATTCCACTTATTTGATCTTTACATACTATATCTGAATGTATCAAATTATCACATATATCCCAAAACATATGTATCCCTTATGTATCAATAAAAAATTTAAAAATCCATTAAGAGGCCAATAATTTTTAATTTTATCTAATATAAAAATACTGTTATATTTAAAATATTAATACTGTTGTTTTATTTAAATGTAGTTATGATGAGGGCTGTTTCTCAAAATTTTTGGTTTTATAGTCTCTGAAAGAATTTAGCAAATCTAATACCCCCTTACACATCTATTTTTTCATAACTTTAAATAATTTTAAAAAATTGAAATTTTCCAAGTTTTATATATTCTATATGTGCTTTAAATATTTTCATTTAAATGCTGAAGTGGCAGGTTTAGTTTAATTTATAAAAGACACTTTCCATATATTGTAATTGGCAAGTCCTCAACATGACACTAATTGAGCTAATCAGTCAATTCAGTCTTACTTTTTGATAGAAAATGACTGACAGTTGTTTCGTATAAATAAATGTGTTGATGTGTGTTCTTTTTTTGTTTTTGTTTTTGTTTTTAAGAGACCGGGTCTCCCTATGTTGCCCAGGCTGGAATGCAATGGCTATTCACAGGTGCGATCCCACTACTGATGAGCATGGGAGTTTTGACCTGCTCCATTTCCGACCTGGGCTGGTTCACCCCTCCTTAGGCAACCGGGTGGTCCCCCACTCCTGGGAGGTCACCGTATTGATGCCGAACTTAGTGCGGACACCCGATCGGCATAGCGCACTACAGCCCAGAACTCCTGGCCTCAAGCGATCCTCCCACCTCAGCCTCCCGAGTAGCTGGAACTACAGGCACGCGCCACCGCATCAAGCAATGTGTGTTCTTATCACCAGCAGCACCCGTTTGGATTGTAGGTGCTGCAGAGTCAGAGTAGCTGAGTGACTGAGTGCACAGGCCCTAACGTGCAATTTATAAGCTGAGTGATCTCAGGCAATTTACTTAATCTCTTTGTGATAATAGTTCTACCTATAAAATGGGAATATAATGGTGATTTACTCACGGGTTAATCTTTATAAAGTACTTTGAATGTAGTATTAGCGGGGTGTGTGTGTGTGTGTGTGTAAGTAAACACATTTCTACCCAAAGATAAAGTTCAGAGCCTTGCCCTAAATTTGTCACAGAGATGAAATGAACTATACCTCCTTTCAATATTTGTTACTGGAGCTCTTTTCTCAGTGTGTTGTACTCCTCTTTTTATATCTGTATTTATAATTCTCACAATCATTATTAATTTTCCCAGGATTCCATGGAAAGCTTGTGTTTACCCTCCATAGTTAGAGACGTACAAGGATGGAGAGGGAACAGAGCCATCTTCCCAGAACCAACTTCGGCCAGAGGAGTTCCAGGATAATCCCAGCCAGAAGAACGAAAATCTGAGTAATGGCTGTGACATAAGAAAATCCTAAGAGAGAAGACAGAGGAAAAGTTTTATGTGAGAGCCACGTCCCAGTTTGCAAAGTTAAGATAGATGTGAACATTCATTAAATTCATGTATTATTCTAATTTAAGATGCACTGAATTTCCATCATGTGAATCAGTTATTTCTCTTTCATTGTATGGATAATGTTAAGAGAATGAGACTCAATCCTACCTTTTCTTCCAAGCTGTCTATCTTCACTAGAGTGGAGTTCTTGTCTATGCAGTCCTTTCTACTGTTAGTCCATGTTTTCTCTTCATTTGTTGTAAAATAATAGCAACTATTTTGGTACCATTGCCACATCTTAGGACATGGATTGCATCTGTGGTCTGAAAAGAAAATTATACCCAATAATATAAACTGAATGTCTCTGGAGTGACTGGGGGCGGCTTTGAAACTAAATCATTTAATTGAACAATAGGGTCTGAGAGCAAGCACCCTGAAAACATATTGCTTTAGAAGCCTCTGAAAATAAAGTGACCCCTGGTTATGGGTTGGGGCAACAGGGATTCTCTCTTTTTAGGGCTTAGTCTTCTGAACTCAGAATTACCAGCTATGCTTTTAAGCTTTCGTAACAACAGGATCACCTAGACATAGTTAATAAAATGAGGGGCCGGGCGCGGTGGCTCACGCCTGTAATCCCAGCACTTTGGGAGGCCGAGGCGGGTGGATCACAAGGTCAAGAGATCGAGACCATCCTGGTCAACATGGTGAAACGCCGTCTCTACTAAAAATACAAAAAATCAGCTGGGCATGGTGGCACGTGCCTGTAATCCCAGCTACTCAGGAGGCTGAGACAGGAGAATTGCCTGAACCCAGGAGGCGGAGGTTGCGGTGAGCCGAGATCGTGCCATTGCACTCCAGCCTGGGTAACGAGAGCGAAACTCCGTCTCAAAAAAAAAAAAAAAAAAAATGAGGGGTTGAAGTATCGAGATTGGTATCATTCCAAGATACTTCTCAAATTTGTCTGTGGTTTCAAAAATATTAAATGAATTTATATATTTCCTTGCTGTCTGTAAATTTAGTGCAATATCACTAAGGGTCATTGGATGACATAATTCTCTCAATACTCAGAGGTGGTACATGTGATCAACTTAGAGCAGGGCAACATATGCCATCTGACTGGTTAGCAGGTCTAAGTCTGATTACCTGAGGTATGAACGATTAGCTCTTGGCACAGTTTGACGGCCATTTGTTCCAGCCTATTCAATAGACTGGAGATGTGTGACTTGAGAAATTCCTCCTTCGTGGACAAGTTATTGGAGTTGCCCAGTTGCTGGGACAAGTTATCCTGCTGCTGGTCGACGGTTTTCTGAAGTTGACTCAATATTTCTGAACCTGAGTTAATTTCATTAGATATCTGCAAAACTCCAAGACATGACAGAAGACAAGTTCATATATTCTTCTGTTCTCATAATAACTATAGATAATTCTCTTGACAGAAACATTTCTTAAATGTTCAAGATTTATTAGTAGTTCTTAGTATTTGAGGTATCATGCAAGAAACAAACCAGATGCCTTTCTATTCCAAATTATTTATAGTTCTTTATAATTTTATTTACATCTTAATTATTATTGCACTATATTAAATTAATGAAAAATTATCTATTTCTGGCATTGCATTTAAGGAAGTGCTAGTCATTCTGTCATTCATTTTCATAAAATTATTTTATTTTTGTTTTATTTTATTTGTAGGCAGATGATGTAATTGTTTTAATAAAAACAGAATTCTTTGAAAAAATGGATTTCTCAAACTCTGCAGACCACTTGAGATGTTGTTTACCAAAAGAAAATAGAAAGCAGATTTTCATGGCACATCAGACCATTTCTGGTCATGGATCTATGAAATATGCCTTTTTCGTAAGCACTTAAGGTGCATCGTCAGCACAACAACTTTAAGAACCAATGCACCAAAAGCACTAAAGTTTAGAAAAGAAATGTCACACTTCTGTATTGACTGAATGGGCATACGTTATCATATTTTCACTTAATTTTTAAATATACATTATTGTAGATGATCAGCTGCTAATCCTCATCCTCTGATTGGCTCCAGAATATCTGTTACTGCCGCTTGAACATCATATTTCTTTTCAAAAGAGCAAGCTACATCATTAGCCTCCTTTCACATTGACAAATATATGTCCAAATCCTAATTATCCATTAAATCTTAAAAAATTATCCATTAAATCATTGAAAAGAAGTGAATGTAGCAGAGGAGATGTTAGTATCATCCAGCAAATTAACTTCCTTGACTACAAGAAAGTTAATTTTTTCACTACCCCGTAAGTGAATACCATGCCAATTCACTGCTCTGTATACCATATATTTAACAACTCTATGAAGTTTATATTCTCAGGATGTTTTAATTATTACTCAGGAACTCCCATGTTCATCCCCAACTACCCAAGGACAGGTCAGAATCAATAGAATGTTCCTTTGTGGCTGTGGTGCTTGAGAGCGGAGCTTCCATTGTCATGTGGAGAGGGTTCGACTTTCTTACTCCATAAGGTGTATCAGGCCACTCTTCCTCCTTGTTTGTATGTCTTTCTCATTCATGGAAACCAGCCTGCTGCTACTTGGAAGATTTCTCTCCACTAGAGAAGTCTTACGTGAAGGGACTGAACCTAGTCTAGTGCTAAGTCTTCCAGGTAGATAAAATAGCATGCATTTTCTTCAATACGTATTTCTTGACTTTATTTCTTAGCATTGGAATGATAAGTGAATGTGTGGCTAGGCAGAAAACAGGCTCTTTATTCTAATGAATAACTAGAAATGAAAAGTCTTCGTCTAAGTCCGGTTTAGCTTATCAACATAAAACAATTCAGAACCAAATCCTGATCATGTCTTCAGGAAGATATGAAGAACAGGAGAGATATGAGACAGCAGAAAACTATCAGAGGATTCGGATGCTAGGACCCATCTACAATCCAGGCGGAATATACATGGTTTAAAATATGTTTTCTAGTCGCCTTTCTCGGGTTCGATGCTGTTATACTTACACATAATCCCCAGTGTCACCAGCCCAATCAGCAACATCAGGCAAAGAGTTAGCAGACCCAGGGCAGTGTGGCGCCACATGGGAGATGGAGCTGGATGCGCTGGAGAAAGCCAACAGAGCAATTAGCAAACAGAACTGCTTTGTGCTTGTTTCACTTGTTGGTTCATTTCTCCCACTTAGGGAGCTCACAGACACTAACGTTTCTCTCTTGCTTCTTCAATGACCTCTTTTAGAAAATATCTAATATGAAGTGCAGTGAGGGTGCCGTCATTGCTTCCACCACTCTTCTTCCCTTTAAGAGTAAGTTTCTCCTAATTTCAAGGTTTTTGTTTTACATCATTACCCACTTTTCTTCCTCAAGTTCGTTGAATTCATAAATGAGAGATACAAAAACTGCTTTTTCTGGACGCTGCTGACAGTAGGAGACACCTCAAGCTTTTGAGCTCAAAAGTCTCTATAAGGCAGATGTTCTATCTGCCTTATAAAAGTGGATTCTACTTTTTAAAGTATCTTTTACCTGTTAACGATAACTTATCTATTATTCATGCTATTTATCACCTGGTAAATAATGAATGAATACTGAAAAAAAAGAAGGAAAGAATGTGCAGGCTAACTTACAAACAGCAGAGTAGACCAGAAAGCCAGAGTGTAACTCTTCAAATGTTAGCATCCTACTCATTGTAGTTTTTGTTTAAAATACCAATGGTTGTCACGTTTTCCTTCACTTAGTATTCCTTGATTTAGGTCCAAATAACATCTAGCGCAATGTTTTAGATATACTATTACAGTCTCCAGGTGCACTGTGATATGCACCATATCCACACCTCCCTTTTTCCTCATAGGTTAGAATTAGAATTAAAAAACAAAACAAAGCAAGGCAAAAATGTGGAACCATCTTTATTAAACACATGCAAAGTCAAAGTCTATCCCTATCGCCTTTTTGTAAATATCCTTCCCTCAAATGTCATGCACCACACAAAATGTAAACATAAATCTAGAGAGCAGGAGAAAGTGGTTCAGATGGCTGACGTGACTCAGGAGAACCTGGAAAGTCAACGTATCTGAAAATAAGAGATGTGGTCTTATATATCAAATCAGATTCTTGACCATGGAGACTGCTATTTCTTCCAATTAGGCTTAAGAGAATGAGTTGAAGACCAATGCTCAGTCTGGGCTTCCCCACATAGCAGCTGTGTGAACTCACTTAAATTATCTAATTTCTCTCAGTCTCAGTTTTCTCATCTATGCAATGGAGGAAATAATAATATTCCAATATTATTGTGAATTTTCATCACAGAATTATATCTGTATAAAACGCACATAAAATACTACCTAGATATTATCATAATTGGTTCAACACTACACATTATACTTGGATTTCAACTACCCTAAAATTTGAAAAAAAATCCTGACAAAAGAGAAACAAGCTCTGGTCCATTTCTGATCCACTCACTTATCTTCCAGTTTTAAGTAACTTAACATCATCTAAAAGAAAAAACGTCCTCTACCTTCACTATTTTAGAAGCCTCCTATCTGGGTTCTGAAAGAACATCCTCCTGGCGTCTCTAACAAGGTGTAAATATCAAGGATTATATTTATAAGAAGAAATCTCTAACTCCACAAGCTTAATTTCTGGCATATCCAGTTAGAATTTTTCACTGCAGCACAGAGCTTCCTGTAACATAGTGATATCACACAATTTTAAAGAGGTTCTGAAAGCCACATATTTTCACTTCAACCTTGGGAACACACACTCTCCTAATATGTTCCACAACCATTTGTTCCCACGCTGAAGGTTTCCCAGCACACTTGTCTTTGACACCAGTTTTAAAGCCGGCATCTCAAAGCATTTCACACCTTCCACTCCCCACAAAACACAGTTGGTGTTCTCTGAACTCCTACCTCTTTTTCTTAGGTTATTTCCATCTCGGTTATTTCTTGCTCCAGCAGAATCCTGAAATGTGAGTGTCGCGTAGGTCACTTCTTCAGACATTGTAGAAGAAAGCACTACTTTAAATTATCTAATTAATGTTTCAATATCTTCAGGCCTGGGAACAGAGTGTCCTTTTCAAGGCTGGGAGCTTCTATAAGACACTCAACTGACCCATACACACTACACTGCCCCTCTCTAAGAGGAGAATGACAATTTGTTTCTCCGGAGAGAAAGTGAGAAAAGTCAAATATTCTGCTTTAAAATATTCTCTTTAGAATGTTACAGATATTGAACTGTCTGCTCTGTCAGAATTATTTCTTGCTGTGCAGCAAAAAAGGAGTGCTTGGAAGCAGAGCAGGAGGATCATGGGGGAATTCCCATGATCCTCAGGGTAGAGGCTGCTCTGAATATTTCAGAAAAGAGTCAAGTTGTCTTCTTTACATCTATGTAAGGCTAGCTAATCTGCATGGAGACGTTGGTTCTAGTTTATACTCAGTCGCATCAGATATCAAGCCGAGAGACACATATTAAGACAGAAAGAGCTGTGTCACACACCTGGTTGCTATTATAGGAAATTCAAATGTGTGTGCGTGTGTGTGTGTGTGTGTGTGTGTGTGTGTGAGAGAGAGAGAGAGAGAGAGAGAGATAGTTGGTAATGGGGCATGGAAGAGAAATTGATAGCTACTTAGCTACTTAACGTGAGTATGAATGGGAGTGCCCTTCTGACATGGTGGGGAAAGTTTCTAGCAGAACAACAATCCCAGGGTAATCTTCCTGTAGACAGCAAGGAATACACAGGACAAGATTTTTAAAAATAACTACCTGAAGTTTCAGGGGAATGAAAGTGAAAAAAGCAGGCCGATTCTAGCGAGAATGAGACTGGCACGTGGTAAGGTATTTTTGGTTTTAGTTTGTTTGTCTTTCAGTCATTCCTGCAGGGTAGCAGAACTCTTATAGAAAGCATGCTGTGTTTCTGGACTACAAAATCAGATGATGCTGTGTGGGGCAACCACAGCCAAAAACAGTGCTGTAATAATTGGATATCCATACAGACTACTGGCTAATGAGGATCTCTAGAGTGTCTTTAGGATTAGAAGTCTCTTTAAACTTGTATTTATTTACATTTTATTTTTTTAAACTTAATAAAATAACCAACCTCTATTTTCCCTCAGATAGGTCTAAAAATGCTCTGAAAAAATGCATCCAATAAAATTGAAGTAAACTCACTGCACAAAGCACTATCACTGTGATGCTTTAAATTTCAACAACATAACATGAGCAATAAAGAGTTGACAATTTGTATAAACGGTATTCTATTATCTGGAAGAACAGGAGAAAAACATGTTGCACATGTAGTTTGTCATAGGATTTATAGCCTTAGGATTTACACACACCTTAAAGGACTGAATCTACTTCTAATCCTGCCATCACTTTTCATTAAACTTACTAATTTATATAATGAAGTAAATTTTTATTAAGGATCTGCGGAAGGTAGAATAATAGCCCCCAAAGATGCCCATGTTCTAATCCTCAGAACCTCTGAATATGGCAGCTCACTGTGAAAAAAGGGACATTTCAGATGCCATTACACTTTTTAACTGTGTAATTGATAAAATAAGCTACAGAGATGCTGTAAGTTTTTAAGGTTACAGACCTTGAGGTGAGAAAAACACCCCAGATTATCTGGGTAGATGCAATTTAACTACTTGAGTCCTTAAAATTGGAGAATATTTCTTAGATGTGGTCAGAGAGTGATGTGACCAAAACAAAGAAACAGGGACATGGTGATATTCCCAGCTGAAGAGGGAGGAAGGGGGCCAGAACCAATGAATTTGGGCTAGATGATGGAGAGGTAATAATGAAACACTGTTTCCCACAGAGCCTTTAGAAAGGAATACATCCTTGCCGAGAGCCTTGATTTTAGCCCAATGAGACTCATGTCAGACTTTCAACCTGCAGAGCCTTAAGATAATACAGTTGTGGTAATTTGTTACAGCAGCAATATGTAGTCAATACAGAACCCAGGAAAATAAGGGTGGGGGAGCTATACATGAGTGAAGAAATTAAGGAATCTCCTCTAAAGCTTTCCTTTGGGGAGAGGTAGAATATTAGATAAGTGTACTTAGCGGGAGGATTTGGTATGGGTTTTGTGGTTTCAGATGACTGGGGAGTGATCTAAAACCTCCAAGGTTCATGTCTGTGTGGAGATTATCTTAGTCAGAGGTGTCCAGCGTGAGGCGCATTCTCCCCGCAGATGTGAAGGAGGTGCAGAAAGGCAATGTAATCACTTTCTCTTTAGGGACATTGTGCACAATCTCTAAACACCTAAGTACATATGTTGCTTGTTCATGTTTCTTTTTTTCAAATTGATGAAATAATAAAAAATGTTTAGAGGCTCTAAGTCATATATCAACAAAACTCCACTAACAAAAATATGGAAACAAATAATAAATCTATGCTTATGTTTACTATTCTAGGTAAATTAAGAAAACGCAGAGACCATTGACATGAGGACTATTTAAATAGGTGATTACAAAAATAAGAAATTAAGAATGGTTTTCTATCTCTGCTCTGGTTTAACTTTCACCAGATTTTGCAAAGACTGGGTTTTTATTCTCATTTCCTTAATTCTTTCACACACCTTAAAGTTTCCTAACAAAATCTTAACCTCTTACTATCCATGAAATGATGCGTAGCTTGAACAATGATGAAGTCACATGGTTCCGAATTATTTCTAAGAGAAGATTGATAACACTTCTACAATCCAAAAAGCTATGTCGTTTATCATTATTTGTGTATGATCATATTAATTTAGACATTTCTGTATATACTTTTCTCTCTGAAAACTCACAGCATCTCTGTAGCTTATTTTATCAGTTACACTATTTAAAAAAACCCATTTTGTTGCAGTCATTTACCAAATTCTAGGACATTCCTCCTTATTTCTTTATTATTTTTTTTCAACTATCATAAAACTTATTGACCTCTACTTCTTTCATGATTATTGCCAGTGATTTTGACATTCAGGTAGGTGATAACTCCAATATCCTGGACTCTCAGTTCTTGAATTTGCCTCCGATAACCTTGCCCACACCCAGAAGTCAGTTGCTTGCACACAAAAATCAGTCCCCACTAGATGATCCTACCTTAGAGCTATGCTATTCACCGTAGGAATCACTAGGCATATAATAGCTATTTAAACTTAATTACAATTAAATAAAATTTAACGTTTACTTCCTAAGCCACACTAGTCATACTTCAGGTACTTAACAGTCTCAGGTGGCATTGGCTATGCAATTGGACAGTGCAGATAAATAACATTTCCATTATTACCAGCTTTGCTACTGAACAGCACTGCGCTAGAGTGCAGACGATTTCATTTCCAATATGAGAACCTCCTCCATTATCTGCTTCAGATATTTCACTCTCTGGCCTCCACCTCCTATCTCTCCAGCCCACTCTGTCTGAGGATTCTACACTCTATGGTATTTCAGTGCCCACTGAGACAGCAGCTTCACTGACCGTGTCACCTTTTCATTGCTGTCAATCCCTCATGTCTCATTGCCTATTATACCTAGCATGTACCACTTACCAGGACCAATTATAAAAAATTACTTTCTTACTCACAGCTACAGCTTCCTTGCTTCCCTCTTCATTCATCAAAAGCATCTAGAAAATGCAGCTTGGTTAAATCCAATGCTGCTCTGTGCATACATTCAAGTAGCTGAATGTGACCATATTAACTGGTTTTATCTTATGTTTTTGAAATATAACTTCCAGCACTCTTACTAATCAACCTGTTCTGCAAATCTCCTAAAAGATTATTTATTCCATATCTCTTTTTCTTTCTCAGACTTTCAAATTTCTTTCTGTCTTCTCTTTCTACGAACTCAACAGATGACCTGGCTTTTCCATTATCATTATCCTAAGAAAAAGAAATTCAGAAAGGAGTTTTCTCGGTTTCACTGATCAAATATACCAAAACATCTACATCTGTATGTGAGCTAGTATCCTTTTCAACAGTGGTTAAATTGTACTACCTCATCTGAAATCAGTCTCCATCTGTATATTAAAATGCATCCACCTATCTCCTTAAAGATTTCAAGCTTATAATTTTCCCTCTTTTGTTCCTTCTGGCACTATCAATTTTTCCTTTTTTTTTTTTTT